TGGCGACGCTAGCGGCAAACCATGAGGCTCAAATGGAAAACCAAAGGACCCAGTATCAAGAGCAAATGGCGACGCTAGCGGCAAACCATGAGGCTCAAATGGAAAACCAAAGGACCCAGTATCAAGAGCAAATGGCGACGCTAGCGACCCAGATGAGAAACCAGGAGGCCCAATATCAAGAGCAGATGGCGGCCATTCCCCAAACCATAGCTCGGGCAGTAAAGTCAGAACTCCACCCCGGTCTGGGGGTATTTGTGTTCCGCAACGAGGAAGATTTTGTTAGATCCAAGAAGAAGAGTGGACAAATCATACAGCTCACCGGCCGGGTCTGGGCGCGAAGGCGCTAGAGTGCTTGGCAAGAGGGTATGGGATCTACAGGCTCTGGTCCTCTAGTGTCATCTGTTTGATGGACATCTTAAGGGATACGAATATGTGGATACGCCCTTAAGAGATGGCACGGATCATCGAGGACGGTACAGTATGAGAACGATGAGAAGAACGAGAGCGCAATCCAGCGGACCGCGAGTGCGACGTGCCGCTGACTTCTGCTGAAGGTATTTCAGAATGAGGGCACGAAAACATCCACTCCTTGAGACATTGGCCTAAAACGACGTCAAAGTAGGCAGCCACTATGCGTTGATAATGAGCCTTATACATCCTGCGTGCCCTCTAAGAGATGGTTGACAACTCGTCGTTAACTGTTCACGGCGACAGGGTGAGGTCTATGTATTTAGAGGGATGGTGTATACGAGTCTGTTCGGTCAGAATTCGTTGCCGCTTTCACAATATTGTACTAGTTCTCACTTTTTCCTGCTGTTGCCAATAGGTTCGTCAAAGTCTTTTACAGCATGCAAATTCCTCACTAATAGTGTTAGAGCTACTGCCGTATCGCCCAGCAAGGCTAGGCTCCTCAGTAACAGATCCAAGATAGTATGAACTGGATGTGAGGAAATGTTGACAGCGTTGCAAGATAGCCACTGTGGCAAACCACCTGAGACGCTAGCTGTCACACCACCTGCGGCACTTACCTCAACACCGTCATTCTCACTGACCTGCGACAGCATGGCAACACAATAGGAGGTTTCAGGAATGGCCTTTGGATTACAGGCAAAAGCGCATATAAACAGGCAGAGTCTATCTGAACAGGCAGAGGGGCCAGACACAATCAATCAGATAGATCCACTCTCACTCTGTTTACAACATCAGGAACCTTTGGATAGACAGGCTTCAGTACATTGCCACTCCATACCCTACCTTGTGCTCGCAAGCCACGTGATACCTCTCGAGCCCTTTTCGTAACAAGTCAACACCCCTTCTTGGTATAATTGTTACACTCGAATCGCCTGTTCTAGGTAAACAACTGTCTTAGTTAGCAACGTCGACGGCGTTTATGCGATAATTATAGGCCTCAATCACCGTTAGTATTTCAAAGCGCCTGCGGACATTATCGCTAAAGATAGTGTAACAGGGCAAAGTGGTTGTACCAGGAAAAGGCTGAGGCATGAGAGAGCGAGGCTGTGGATGTCTGGACATGTGACCAGACAAGGTCTAGGGGGTCTTATCCTGTGGCTCTCGAGGCGCTGGGAGAGCAACCTAGCCATCACGGATGACGGATGACAATTGAGCATGGATAGGGGCAATTGACACAGGCAACTTGTGCTGCGCTTTGCAAATCACCACTGGCGATGACAGATAACAGTGCTAGACAGAGTCGATTGTGCTGGCATTCCTACCATTCTTTTGTATACTGAACAGAGTCTTTCTATTATTGTTGTTGTTTCGTTCTCACACCAAGTGATTCTTCTACTGCCGTTTGCTGCCACCGTTCCCCATTGCAGTCGGGCATGCCATTGTCTTAGGCGCCGCCTCCTTCCAGCGGTGCCTTTGGTGTTGGTGGTGTGTTTGTGCTGGCCGCCGCCAGATTGGCGTTCTCAGTATCTGACCTGCAGGACAGACCTCTGCGCGTTCTCGCGCGTGCAAGTCGAACTGTGAAGTGCTCTGGCTACAATATAAGGGCCGCACATTCCTCCCTAGCTCCTCAAACCCTTTCCAAGGCTCTGAGTCTCTGTATATACGCTTAGTATGCGAACGATATTACAGCTAGTTACTTTTATTGATCCGTCTATTCATTGATAGCCTTCTCTTACAGTCCAAGTCTAATATCACCTGGCTTTAGGTAGATCCATTTAATACTATCTAGGCAACGGAGTTTCATCGAAACATCATTCCTCCATCAACGACTATACTTGTCCCAGTAACGAAATCGGAGGCCGGACTACTGAGAAACAGAGCAGTACCACGAAGGTCTGAAGGATGACCCCATCTTCCACACGGGGTGCGATTGACAATGTACTCCTCCATCTCGGGATACTTATCCAGAAGTGCTTGCGCCAGGGGAGTTTTTATGTACCCAGGACAAATACAGTTTACCTACACTAATGTTAGACACTTGGAGAGAAATGGATACATTAGTAATATACGAGACTTACTTGAATCCCGTGACATGCCCATTCATTGCTAAAGGCTTTGGTCATTTGTAAAACTCCCCCTTTGGTGGCCGCATATACTGAGACATTTGTCATTGCCACGAAAGATGTAAAAGAACCGAAGTTGATGATCTTTCCTGGCCGGGCAAGTTCAATTAAACGTTTTCCGAATTCTTGAGCAGCGATGTAGGCCCCTTTCAAGTTAACTGAGATGATCTAGGGTACATATGTTAGCTTGATGCCTACATGAGATGTACGGCTGGCTGCTGACTAGGTCAATTTGGTCATCGGTCACTTCCTCGATCGGGCCCCTCCGGTTTAAGCCCGCACAATTCAAAAGAATATCCGGTACGATGCTCGACTTCCACATGCGATCGAACGTCGCCCGAAGTTGGTTCGAGTCTCCGACATCGCACGCGAAACCAGTTACTTTCCTCCCAACTTTTCTCACTCCTTCTTCCAGCGCGCCCTGGCCGGGGTCTTGCGGAAGATGAATGGACACAATATCGGCTCCGCTCTCTGCCAGAGCGATGCAAATTTCCAAACCAAGTCCCCCTGTACCTGTTGAGTCGTGAATACACGTGTCTTAATTGCGCAACTGAGGGTCCGAGCCTCTCTCACCTCCAGTTGCGATGACTGTTTTGCCTTCAAGGGAGAACAGCTGCGATGTTGGAACACGAGGAACTTGAGTGGCCATGGATTTCGGTTAGACAAACAACACAGTCAAAGTGTACAAGGAATTGCGAAGGCTTCTGCTTTGAAAGCGCGAGTGAAATTGGTCCTGCGTGTTGAACGTGTTGGCGGTTGTAATAAGAACCCAGGCTAGCAGGCTGGGAAGGATCGCAGTGGCTAAGTTGGTGGCAATGCCTTTTGCATGAAAAGTGTCTATCTGAGTATGTACCGAGGGGAAAGAGTCAGGACTCGCGGCTAACTAAAGAGAGGGGTGCCAAGGCCCCTCCAGGCTAGTCCTGGACTAGCCGTCGTTCATAGGGCAGAGCCACGTGACAGCCTTTAAATGTTCCAGAAACCCCCATGACATTACTTCGCCGAAATGGCCAAAATACGGGAAATACACCCTTTTGAAAGAGACGCGATAGATCAGATACTCAGATTCTGTGAGGCTAACGAACTGTAATCACGTGGACCATGGAACTGTGTTCTGTCCTGATTGTTGCTATCTAATGGCCGCCATTTCAGCGAGTTCTTTCCTGTCTATACAGACATTTGCCCTAGTTGACGAAATCAACCCCAAAAGATCCTTCTGAACTGTATTATGAATGGGGGTATTGATCATTCTTGGAATGGCCATTGGAATGGGTATTTAATCACGGCCCGATGCCGATCACGTTGATCGTGGTCGAGGTCTGTCTCTCAGCTTTCAGCTGTGACATAACTAGTTCTGCAGATGGATTTAGAAAAAGCCTCCAAGCATAGGCATATGGTTTCCCCTCTCTGCCCTCTGCATGTGGCGGTTCCAGCTGGCACCCCTGCCCATTCAACTTGCTCGATATTGTTGTGCCGATCGAAGTATCGGACGCTACAACGGCCAGGTCAAGGTCTGTATAAAGTTGGTCCCCTGGATAATCCGACCACACCAATGTAACCTTAGGGTCAACCGCTCATCATGTTCGGGAATCTTAATTGGGTTCGCGGGATCCTGTGTGGGATGTCTTCAGAAACGATTTCTTGCTCCTCGAAGTCTGAATTATAAACCTTGCGAGCGACGGCCAATGGAGCAGGCAAGATCAACTAGGCCAAATCGAGGTTTATGGTTGTGAGGATGTTGACGCCAGTGGCAGAAGAACCGCGCCATTGATAAGGAGCGCCTTGATGAACGCGGCACTTGGAAAACGGGCCTTAATCCTGTTGACGATTGCCTCACGTCTCTGAATATCGTTTAAGCCATCATCCTAAAGGGCAGCCTCGTTTCGGACAGCCTCGTGCAGGAGAGCCTGGCGCAGGACGGCCGCGCAGCCGGCAATAAGTGGAGTGGCCATGTTTGTCCCGTCTAAGTACCACCAATTATAGTCCTTGTGTGGATATCTTGATTGTCCTTGGTGTGCGGAATTCGCTGAGAGTACCAAGTAGATATGTGCCCGAAGTCACAACATCGGGTTTAACCCGTTGCTCCACAGTAGGTTCGCGACTCCTGAAGTGGCCAACTTCATCGGCTTTCTCTTCGTCGTTTTCGGTGGCACCCACCGTAATACAGTTCTTCACGACCGCTTCCGCCCCAATTTGCGCTGGTAGTAAGATTTCGACAGGGTAGTCATCGTCGTCACCGTCATTGCCGTTACCAGCAGCGAAGCAGATCGCTAGGTCCGGGTTGTACCAAACGAAGCTATCAATCTCTGCGGGCCTGTTACTTGGATTATAACGAAGTTGCTTTCGCTTACAACTAGTACCCCAGGAATTGGTGTGCACTCGCGCCGAGGTCCTCAAGGCTAGTGGGGATCCCGTTCAAGTCTGGACCAGAGCATTGAACAACAAGTTTGCCCCTGGAGCGGTTCCGCTAATCTCAAGTCCCCTCTCCGTTTCACCACTACCAACGGCCAAGGCACAAACATAAGGGCCGTGGCCATCAATATCAATGACTAAGGGGATGTTGCTTCGTGGATATATCGACAGGACGCGACTCGTTTTCCGGCTGGTAATTGGATCCTTTCGCAGAAATACGTGGTGACCATTCATGACGTATTCTCTATCAAATCCGGTGTCTGCAACAGCGATAACTTCTCCTTCACCATTGTACGTGTGGTCTGGCTAAGCGTTGCCTCAGACATCCGCTCTCAGGATCACTCGAGCAATATGGGTTCGCGTCTCCCGTTTATAGACCTTTCAATAGCCCGTACTTCGTCAATCGACGCCAGAGGCACAAGGTATCGCTCCTACATCGCTTACCGCAATCTGTGTTGACTAAACTTCAGTGTGTCTACCATTAGGTGTGCCATTTTTACTACGTAATTTCCGAGTTTTTCCGGGTTCACGTCGTCGTGAAAGATGATATTAACCTCATGTGAAATGCGTGAATGACTCCGGGGACCTTATGCTACCCGGCTCAGGCTCGCTGAGATATTGTATTCCCGCCAGTATACATGCACATAAGCGGCATAGTGCAGTAGACGTATCTCATCCAGATTGGTTCCCTTGCGGTGATACAGCTATGTGTTCTTTGACACGTACCTGTGGAGCCTGAGGCCCATGCTTCTTAACTGTTTCATCTGTTAGAACGCTAGGGACATCCAACTCTAGATCAAGTTGTGGCTGGACCGTGCACAGGGTTCTACGGCCGCTTCCGTCTTTAAGTCAAGCATATTCCCATTTATCGTAATGGGGAACAGAGGAGCTCTTTCCGGGGGTTGCTTCATATTCCAGAATGTTCACGTCCAATTTATGATTGAAATACACCCAAGCACCAGGCAGAACTAGGTGACTGACAAGATTTCCTTTTTCGGCTGGTAAGGATATGAATAGATCCAAACCCATCCTCTCCTATCTAGATAGGGATCGCCGCACTGGACCTCGGGATCTCGAGCGTGAGGAGCGGGTATCTTCTTGGTAGCAGGACCAGGGAACGTCTATTGATCCATAAACGCCAGCAATCACATGGTTAATGGCATGCGGATGGAGTCAAGAGTGTTATACTGTAGTCTGGAGGGCAGGTCCCCTAGCAGCTGCGACGCTAATTGGACCGGGTTTTGAAACCACAACAGTGATGTCCTCAAAATGTTGGTTAATGACCCAAACGTGTGGTGGTACTCCATTCGTTGCCGGGGTAGTGGCGATGCCGGCTAATTTCTCCGCTGCATCTGCAACTCCTCGTAGGTAAGATGAAAGACGCTTCCATTCTTCAGTTGTTTCGAGGGTGGGGAGTTCTGAACTCGTCATTTAACGTTGCTCGACTTCGCCTTCTTCGTAAGTCTATGTTCGGTCATACTCTGGTTTTTCTTCAGAAAGTGCAAGGGAAGGCTAACGGGTTCCTGTGGATCGACTGAGACGGAACTGCTCTGCGGTGGAAGGTTTTTAAGTAGAGATCAGTATTCCGACGCTCTCTGCAGGGCGTACCCACCTTCGCCGATGTAATAGTTTTCCGGCGCCTGGGCTTCGACTATATGCACCCAACCCAGTGCCTGGAATATATCAATTTCTCTCTCCAATTGTCTCAGACGGTTTCGATCGACTCCAGTAGGGACTCTCGTATCTCTCAACTTTGGCTCGTGGGAACCGTTTTCCGTACCGTCGTACACCTTGAAGAGACAAAGTGGATTTCTCCACCCTTCGTACCATGTACAAAGGGTGATGGCGAAAATCCACATCTACCTCAATCGCCATAGTAACTCGTAAACCGTATCCTTTGTACCCTGGATGCTATTGTTCAGACTCTACTTGTCTTTGATAGCCTCTTATGACCATGAAACAGCTGGCCAGAATTATTGCAAGACCATAGGGTATGAGATTTTCAAGTTCAACAGAGAAATGGAAATGTAGCAGGACAATAGCTTCCTGAGCCAGCCAGTCCATAGACAAAATATGTCTTGAACTTTTCCGAGCCATCGAAATGTCCAGCTTGGTGAGTGATAAAAGGAAAGGGACTAAGGCTGAAGCTCCCTTTAAATGTAACTACTACGGCAAAGTATTGCGTCTTTGAGGCATTTTCTCCACCGTATCCGGGTTTCGGAAAGAGTGCTCAAAGCGCTCCACATTTCGAAGGTAATTGAGCTTAGAGGGGGAGTCTCGGGCCCCAAGAGAGAATGGATGAGAATATTCAGTTGGATCAAAGAATCGTGATTGATTCCCACCAGCTCCTCCTGCGCCAATCGCAAAAGTATGGACAATTTATGTACGAGATTTTGCTGTCATTGGGGTTGCCTCAGCAATCATACCCCTGGCTCAATTTAGTCTCATCAGCAAGTATGTACTCCTTTCCTCCGCGAGATCTCTTCTAGACCAGCTTGATGTAACCATCGGCCTTTCGTGACCTCGAAATGCCCAATCTTCTCAGGACGGGATCAAACATGCTGTAGTAAATCCAATAGAACAAACTCAGCGGCCCGAAGATTGACATGGGGAGAGCGTTGAGCAAAATATGTCCTAAACGGATGCACATGGTCAGTGGCCTTTTTCACAACGGAAGTGACGGTGGTAGTGAAAGTATAAACAGAGGAATTTGTCGCTTGAAGGCGCCATCTTGGGATGTTCCACATCTGGAAAAAAAAAAACTCACCCCAGACAAATGGTCGTCTCTTGATCAACTCCCACATCTCTCCCTTCATCATTCCTTCGGCTCCTTCCCACCGCCATGGGCCCACCAGTCTGAATTTGGTGTTCATGTTACATCCGCATGCCCACACGATGAATACCTTCCATCCATGCTTCAACACCTGTGTGGCGGATGGGGCCGAGCCCATGTCAAGAGCCAGTTGGTATGCGTACGATTCATGATCGACACCATGATGGATACGATGTTCAGGTTTTGTCTTCAGCCTGTACCACTCTTCGCCGTCGGGATTCAGTGCTGGATCCAAGGATCGTAGGCTCGCTTCTGGAAGAAGATTGAGGATTCGAAGCACCCAGAGCTGAGCTTGGAATTCGGCTAGAGGTGGAATTGCGCCTGAGAATCAGTCAGTGTTAGCATCTAGGTAGAGGGGCGAAAAGACGTCTGCAGTTCCACAGAGAATAGGAGGGCATATACAGACG